CGTAGCAAGATCCTTTCTCCCTTTTTTTTTTTTTTTTTTTTGTCTTTTTCCTTTTTATCGGTACCGGGGATCGAACTCACAACTGCCTGCTTGCAAGGCAGGCGCTTATGCCGCTGAGCTAAACCTCCAGCCCCATGCTTCCTCCCTTTTTGAGACAGGGTCTTGTTATACAGTTCAGGCTGGCCTTGGACTCCTTTGTAGCCCAGGCTGCACTTGAATTCACAGTGATCCTCTTGCCTTAGCCTCCCAAATGCTAGAATTCTAGGCGTGTATCACCACACTCAGTTTACATAGTGAGATTTTGTCTAAAAAAAAATCAAATCAAACCAAATAAACAAACAAAATGTAGGGCTGGGATTTAGCTCAGCAGTGTAAGCACCTGCCTGGCAAGAGCAAGGTCTCACATTCAATCCCCTGTAACAAAAAGAAAGAAAGCGAAAGTGTATTCATGAAAGGGCACAAAAAAAAGCCTGCATCCACATGCCTAACCAGAACCCCAAACTTGCTAGGTTAAATAAAGCTGCACCGGCTCTATCTAGGCACGGCCTGGGTGCCAGGAGCCTGTGGGGAGGCGAGGGTGCTGTGACCCGCTGTGAGCTCCCTCCTGTGGGAACCGCCCTGGGGCTCCCCTCCTGCCATCAGCCCTTCAGTGTCCTGGTCACTGCCCGAGGGGACCCTGGGGAAGCTGAGTCCTTACAGATGGGTGGAGAGGGGCCAGCAGGGGAGCGGGGTACCCACAGGAAGGTGGAAGGGGGTGGTCAGGTGGCCATGATGTGGTGTTAGTCATGGGCAGTTGCAGCAGCAGGACAGGAATGTCCCTGAGGCTTCCTTCTGCGTCATCCAGCAGGACCAGCTCTGTGGGAGAAGGTCATGCCATTGTGACCATGTGTCATCTGGTGACTGTCTCCTGAGGACATGGTCTACGCAGCACAGCGCGGGTGCTGTGGAGGCAAACATAGTCCAGCTGGTGAAACGCTTCCAAGGGTAAACAGCTTGAAAAAGCATTGCTAAAGATGACACACAAAGGCATGTGTTCTGACACCAACCCAGGGCAGGGATGGGACGGGAAGTGACCCAGGCATAGGCCTTGCCCTCCGAGTCCTGTGGGTGAACCACGTCCAGCGGGCACCCACCTCCAGTTACAAGTGCTACAAAGGACAGCAGTGGTTGTTACAAAGTACAAAGGTGCTGTTCTGAGTGCTGCGGAGCGGTGTTGAAGTACCCCAGGCTGTGTCTGAGGGTTGAGTGGCCCTTTTGGGTGGGCTGCTCTGAGAGAAGACGGAGCAGGCCATGGTGCCAGGGCTGGGGTGAGTGGAGCCGGGCTCTGGGATGTCGGTGGAGCCCGCTGACAGCGCCCAGACCAGACTGGCCCCCAAGCTGGACAGCTGCACCTCTTCATTCGGGACAGCAGGAGTCGGTCCTTGTGACAGCAGGCTCTGGGCTGCTCTGCCCACCCTGACTGTGCCCCTCCTCCGTGGGCAAGGACCTGGGAAGCAGCTCATTGTCTGCAGGGCCCTGCCACATCATTTTGGGCTTGTGTTCCTACCCATGCTCATTATTATGCGCATGCGCACACATATGTGTGTGTGTGTGTGTGTGTGTGTGTGTGTGTGTGTGTGTGTGTGCTTGTGGCTGCCCTGGGGAGTGAACCCAGGGCCTTCCCATTGAGCGGCATCCCAGCTCTCTCTGTCTCTGTCTGTCTTGCTTTTTCTCTTTTAATTTTGAAGTTGGATCTTACTAAGTCACTAAGTTGCTCATACTGGGCTCAATTTTTTCTTGTTTTTGTACCCAGGATTGAACTCACAACCTCAGGCTTGCCAGGCACAAGCTGTGCTGCTGAGCTTAGCCCCAGCCCTGGGCTCCACCTTGCAGTCCTTCTGCCTTACCCTCCTGGAGTGCTGGGGTCGGAAGCCTGCACCACCGCACTGTCTTCTGTGTCCTAGCTAGCTGTAGCTTATTCCCCATTGATCGACTTTTCTCCACTCTTGCTCCCTTGACCCTTCCCAAGTTTGGTCACCTGCACCTTACTCTCCATGTATGAATCAACGTGTCTAGACTCTTTTAAGTAAGATTCCAAGGGACTTATCTCTCTGTGGTTAGTTCATATTTAACAATCTCTAGTTTCATCTATATCGCTGAAAATAACAAAGTTTCTTTTTCATGGCCAAGTAATATCCCCTTGTGTACCTGTACCTTGTTTTCTTTATTCATTTCTCAACTAATGGACATTTATGCTGTGCCCATTTCTTGGATTCTATGGACAGTGTTGTAACCAACATGGCAATGCAGACATCTGTGACAAAAAATTTTTTTTGGTACCGGGGATCAAACTCACAACCTCACACTTGCCAGGCAGACGCTTATGCCGCTGAGCTAAATCCCCAGCCCCTCAGGAGCTATTTCTTTATACTTTTTACCAGTAGTTTCAGAGATTCACAACTTAACTTTACATTTATCCATTTTGTGATATTTTGTCAATGCTATATTACTCTGAACATGCCCAATCTTGTCTGAATTGATATTTTTATTTGGTAAGACATAGTTTTAATTCTCTTGCATATGGACATCCAATTTCCCAGGATCACTACTCTTAAAACCGGGTGTGGCGGTGCTCACCTGTAATCCCAGTGCTTGGAAGGCTGAGGCAGGAGGATCACTGAGAGTTGGAGGTCAGCCTGGGCTGCATAGTTAGTTCAAGGCTGGCCTAAACAGTATAGTGAAACCCTGTGTGGTAGATTAAAAGCTGAGCTGGATCAGTTTGGTGCTGAGTGTAGATGGCCCATCTGAGGACTGTTGCCAGCAAAAAAGAGACCTGGAGAGGAAGAGTGGCATTGTGGATTCTCCTAAGTGTTGTTTGGAACTGCTGGTTCTTTTGGAGCAGTTGGTTCTCCTGGAGGAGCTGTCATGCTAGCTTCCCTGATATGAACTCAACTGTTACCATCAGAGGAGCTTGGGACCTTGTTGCTAAGAATGGCTGCCGTTCACCTTAGGGGAGCTCTGGGCCTTACTTTGAGCATCACTTCCTAGATCTGGTCGGGAAGTGTGTGCTCTTCAGTCTCCAGGAGAAGCTAGTCATGCTGGCTTCCTGATATGAACTCAGCTGTTCTCATTCTTGGAGGAGCTCAGGACTTCACTGTCCCTGAGGATGGCTGTGGTACTTTTTGGGTCCTCAGTTTGAGCATCGCTTCCTGGCTCTAGTGCAGATCCCTAGCCTGCTGGCACAGATCCTTCTCCCCGCTGGCAGAGACTCTCTCACTTCCATTGCTGACCTTGGGGCCTTCCCAGCACAGATCTGTGAAGCAGACTTGCATGAGTCATTGCTGTGGGCTCTGGGCCTCCAGTGGGACTCGTGGAGAGACATTGTCTTGGGCTCTAGGTTCTCAGCTGAACTCAGGCAGGTTATTGCCATGGGATCCAGGCCCTTGGCTAGATTCTCTAGGTCTTAAGTGTGTGGAAAGATTTCCTGCACTTTCTTTGTATTTGACTCTTTGAGTGACCATCATAAATAATACTATAAACTATGTATCCTGTTTCGTCTTGTTCTCCCTGTAACCCCTAGGACACTCTCAAAATAAACACACACACAATCTGTTCCTCTTAATGTTTGATTTACTAGTGGTGATTTTTAACTTTCCTTTGTTGTTTTTAATTTATTTTTTATTGTCTTTTTAAGATAGAGTTTCACTATGCAGTTCAGGTTGGACTTTGTAATTTAGGCTGGCCTAGAACTCACAGCAATCCTCCTGCCTCAGCTTCCCAAATGCTGGGATTACAGGTGTGCTTTCCAACTTGCCTTTGCATTGAATCTGTATCATGTGCTGTGCCTCTTAAAACCTGCAGGATTAGAGATATCTGAGAGTCTGGCGTGACATGTCTTAATTATATTCTTATTGTTATATTTAACCTTAGTTGTATTATGCATAGCAATTTTATGCCAAGTTTTTTTTCTTTTGGTCTTACTATATAGTCCAGGGCACCCTTGAACTTACTACTGTTATGAGGCTGAGGCTTGCTTTCAACTCACAATCCTCCTGCCTCAGCCTCCTGAGTCCTGGGATCACAGGTCTGTCCTACCACACTTGGCATCAGGCCTATTTTTAATCTCTACTGCTGTGCAATAGCGAAACGGTGATGAATTAGTTTTGTACATTCATACCTGTGTCTGCATGTAATAAAAAAACTATTTTTGAGAAAGTGATTGAAAATTCTTAGGTTTTGGTGGTGAGGCATAGTCCTATTCCAACTAAGGGCTCGCGCTGAAGTCTAACTTTGATTTTTTTTCTTTTTTTTTTTTTAGCTTTGATTTTAATAAATTTTGAGCCATTTCATTTTTAAGAGCTCATTTGGAAGTCTTAAAAAATTAATTAAATCTTTCGTCTTTGAAGTTTAGTTCTTCCATTTCTGGCGTATTATCCATGGGTTGTGAGGAAAATCGATGATCAGTTCAGTGATTTGCACCTAAAATAAAGGTGCAGGACAGCTGAAATTAGAAGCAGCTGGAACATGGCTTTCCCGTGCTCCCAGTGAAGGCTGTGGGGTCTTCAGAGCCCTCCTCTGTTTCCATGGCTAAATCGAGGCGTTTCCAAGAGACAGAGACCTGGGCTGCGTCGCATCTAAGCCACCTGGGGACCTGGCCTCTTGTGGGTTTCTCAGGGCCCTGGACTCAGCTGGGAAGCAGTCAAATCAAAAGTGGGTAAAGGAAGGTGTTACGGTTTAGATCAAAAGCCCCCAAAGCCTCGGGCACTTGGAAGGGTGTCTGAAAGCTGGGCTCAGGGTGGCAGACCCTGTTAGACGGATGACAATGCGAGACACAGAGAGTATCTTTGTCCAGGGTCTTCAGAATGCAGTGAAGCCCTGACACAAACCCCCCTAGATTTATTGAGGCACAAAAGGCAGAGAGCTCCGCGGAGCGTGGGTCGAGTTGCAGTAGTGAGCCAAGCTAGCAGCTGAATAATTTCCATCTGACCATGGCCTCAGGAGCTTCCTCGTTTTCCCCACAGGGCCCTCTGCTGGAACTGGCCAGGCATCCTGTATTCAAGATGGTTCCACCCCTCAGAGGCAGCTTCTACGTCAAGGGAACTGGGCAGACATCTGCCCCAGGGAGTCGGGCAGAGTTCTGGATCTGACCTTGATGGTGACCTTGGAGGCTGCAATGCACATGTTGGGGGAGGTGGATCCTGAGCTGGCCTGAGGGTGAGCTCCTCCCTTGCTTCCTGTCCTGGATCACAAGGCCCTCCAGCTTGCTACCCTGCCTTGGAGCTGGCCTGCCATGGACTGAAACAATTGACAACATTCACCTTTCTTCTTTTATTTTTTAAAAATAATTTAATTTTTTTTTGTCTTTTTGAGACAGCATCTCACTATGCTGCTCAGGTTGTCCTTGAACTCATTTTGTGGTTCAGACTGGTCTCCAATTTGCAACCTCCTCCTGCCTCAGCCTCCTGAGTGCTGGGATTATAGGTGCCCGGATCACCACACCTAGCCTCTTTCTTCCTGTAAATTGTGTGTGTCAGGTTTATACTGGCTTTCTCCTGAAGTCTTGTGCACTCATAGTTGGGGCTTTGTGAGGTGATTGGATTGTTGTCCAGGGGGAGGTCACTGGGACGTGGCCTGGAATGGCTTAGGGTATCTCCACTCCTCCCTTCTCTCTCTGCTTCCTGATCACCTCAGTTTCCTCTCTGCCAAGCCATCCTGCTTTGGAGCTGCTGACTGTCATCTGAAACAGGAGCCAGAATAACCCTCTCTCCTTAAAGTTGGGCCTGTCCGGTATCCATGTCAGGTCACCCAGCCGCCAGCTAAGTGAAGCAGACAGTCTCTGGGCAGCGTTTGTGACACCCCATGGAGTCCTGCACTCTGCTTGGTGCCAGCGCTGGGAGCGTGGGGCAGGGCAAGGGTCTCTGTGGCCAGTGTGTTACCCCGAGCTGGACTGTCCAGCAGCCCTCCAGCCTCCTACTCCAGCCTTGGCACCTGGAGGTGTTGACATAATGGAAGAAGCTGAGATTGGACTCTGGGACCAGGTGATGGGTTATTTATTGTTACCTGGAACTTAGTGGCTCAAGGCCTCTTCTCCACTGAATTTTAATTTTTAAAAAGTTTTTGTCTTTTTGGAAATAGAGTCTTGCTATTTGGTTCAGGCTGGCTTTGAGCTCACTTTGGAGTCCAGGCTGGTTTCCAGCTTGCAAAGATCCTTCTGCCTCAGCCTCCTGAGTGCTGGGATTACAGGAGTGAGCCAACATGCCTAGCTTCCTCCAACAAATTTTAGTCAGGCTCCTTTAACCTCCTCTTCAGCTAGGCCTCAACGGACCACAAAATTTGGGCACAATAATATCCACCTTTCACAAATTTGAGAAACACTAGCTAGTTTGTCCACTCTGGGAGGCTGAGGCAGAAGGATCACAAGTCTGAGACTGCTGGGAGACTGGTTTGGACCACCAAGCCTGGCTCAAATGTCTTTCATGATCCAGCCCCAAGAGTCCGACCTTGTCACTTGCGGGGTGTCCTCATGCACATGGGATGCTGGGGACTCATCACTAGGGCCACCTGGCAGGCCTGCAGTGAGGACTCTGGTACTGACCCCGCCCCCAGCCACCCAGTCCTGCTCGCCCGGATCTCCACGCCGCCTGTGAACCAGGAGCTGCTGGACACGCGAAGAGTTAAAACCTCCCACAGCCACAGCCGCTGTTGCCTGGCCAGGCCTGGCTCTCAGCCTCATTGGGCCGGGGAGGGGCACAGCAGCTGCTGGGAGGGGGTCCCCTTTATTTCCCCCTCACTTCCGAGGTCAGGTCGGGCCGGGTGAGGACGCGGACAGGTGGCTGCTGACACAAAGGCTCTGAGGAGCTCGCTGGCAACGCGGCAGCGGCAGCGGGACTTGGCCTTGGGACAGCTGAGCCGGTCCGCTCATCCAGGAGTCCGCGCCCACCCAGTGGCTCCGCCCAGGCCCGGAACCTGCGCAGGGGCTGCTGCCAGCCTGGCCTCGCTGAGCGCTGCGCCTTCCTCTTCTTCCCAGCCTCCCCACGCCCTGCCTGCGGAGGGTTAGAACACCTCAGGATGGAGGAGTTTGCCTGGGGCAAGGCAGGGCAGGCCGAGCTGCAGCCCCTGTCCTGGATGGGCTCCTGTCCTGTCCTAGGACAGACGGACCCAGCCCCTATCCTCCCCACCTGTCCGGCTCTGGTCTTCCTCAGCACGTTTCTTTACTTTTCTCTTTCTCATTTTGTCTGTTTATTTTGAGACAGGGTCTCGCCATGTAGTTCAGACTGGCCCTGAACTCACTATGTAGCCCATGCTGGCCGTGAACTCACAGGTATCCTCCGGTCTCAGCCTTCTAAGTGCTGGGATTTCAGGTGTGTGCCACTGCACCTGGTTTCAAACATCATTCTGCACAAATCTCTCTTGCAAGGGATAGGCGGTTCCTGATTATCCTACAGTCCCCAGAATGAGTGGAGAGGTGCTCTCTTGGAGTGCCTGTTATTCAAGATGAAAACAACCCGACCTGCAAATCCCTGCCCAATGCATAACTGCACAAGTCAATGAGCTGAAAAACCCTGAAACTCGGCCTCGTACTTGGGGCGATTCCTGCAGGGATTCTGTGTCTTCTCTATTTTTCCCTTTCTGGTGAGAACACGCTTTTTACACTCACTGGTCAGGGATCTGAGAAACTCAGCTCTTGCTGTCTGTCAGCTGTCAGCATGAACTTCTGCTTAGACCCTGGCCACCCTGGAGACACAGGGCCAGGAGATAAGGGGCTCTGTGGTCCCCTCCCTGTGCCAGCCCAGCCCCCAGCCATCCTGACCCACTTCCTTCGAGCCCTGCAGCTCCTTGGCTTGCTCCAAGTCGCTCTTTATTCAGCCGGGACCTGGACCAAGGTCCCTGGAGAAGACCGAGCTCTGGGCTCTGGCCTTCTTCCCAGGCCAGCACAAAGCTGCTTTATGCCTGGCTGCACTCCCCTGGCCCCAGCTGCCCCAGCTCTGCTTTTTCTTAGTGTTTTCCTTTCAGCTGACTTAGTTATTACAGTAAGGGCTGCAGAGGCTGGGCTTGCTGGGACACAGCAGTTTGCTGGGTCACGTTCCTGCCTGCAGGCCAGGGACTGTCTTCTGCGGCTTCCCTTTGTGTCCTGCCCAGGGGCAGAGCCCAGCAACCTGTCCAGGTCCTATCCCCGCCAGGGCAGGACATTCCTAACAACCTATGACTGTACTCCCCACACAGGGAAGGCTGAGGCAGAAGGATCCCTGCTGTGAGTTCAAGGCCAGTCTGGACTACACAGTGAGACCCTCAATCAAGATGGACCCATTTGAACATGGAAACGTTTCCAGTGAAAGGAAACTGGAGTAGAAGGTCAGCCACCAAGCTGCGGGACTTCTCGTCCCTGGAGGTCGTGAAGCTGACCCACTGCTTCCCTGCCCCGCTGGCCCGGGATCCCCAGCTGGAAGGCCCTTTGGCTGCACAGATGTGATGTGTCCTTCACCCCGTTACGGGAGTCCATGGTGTGGACACCAAACATCTGCTTTGGGTTTTGCAAACATTTGGAATTAAAAGCTTTCAGTTTGTGCTTGGATCAGTTGGGGCTTCATTTTCGAGGTCCTGCCTTTCAGGGGAGGACAGAGGGCAGGGGTGGGGACAGGAGCTGGCCCGGCCTCACCCTGCTCCCCACCTCCAAGCTGCCTACAGGGTACCCAGCATGAGCACTGGCCTGTGAACAGCCCACAGGCGGTGTGTCCAGGTGCCTGGCAGGGCGTGATTTCAGGGCCGCTGCTGCTCTGCTCGATCCCGGCCTCCACCTCTGGGCAGTTTCTTTGGTTAGAAAGGGCTGAGTTCAGGTTTGGAGGCTGTGAACACAATGCCATCCCCAAAATCTATCTGCTCTGGCCTCTTCTCAAGGGCAGGAACCTCCTGGAACTTCCTAAAACCCAGCTGCTGCTTGGGCACAGAGGCACAAGCCTATAATCCCAGTGCTCCAGGAGGCCGAGGTGGGAAGGTCACTCATAAGCCTAGGCTGGGCACCTTCGTGACTCAGCCAAATCCTGTCTCCAAATGAAAAGTGGGCTGAGGATGGAGGACAGAGCTCAGTGTGCAGCCCCAGGTTCAGCACCCAGCAGTCCCCACCTCCAGAACCAGGTGCTGAAGGGCAGAGGCTGGTGTGGTAGGGAAGGCAGCCGTGTCACCCGGGACTGCAGTGCAGCTGGCAGTGCTGCTCTGCTGTGGCAGTGCTGAGGGCCTGAGTCACTGAATATGAGTGCAGGGCGGGGTGGGGTGGCCTGTGGCATTAAACTGTTCCTGGATGTCGAAATCTGATTTATTAACATTGGCGATGGTCGAGGCCGTCCTGCCAACAAAGGTTCTGAAATTGAAATCGCATGAAACTTCTCCAGTTTCTGCTGGTGCCCCACACGCCCTTCTTTCCTGAAGCAGCAAATTCACTTAAAAATAATTAAGAAAAGATTGATGGGATTTTGGAATTGTAATGAAAAATATGATCTCATTAGTGAGTCCTGAGCCAGGGCCAGGCCCTATGTCAGCTGTGCGCCCTCTGCGTGATGAGCAGAGGCTCACAGGGGAGAGCTAATAATGGCAAGGATTAAAAAATTAAAACAGTTTCCCTTTATACTTTGCAGGCTATGCTGAAATTCTTCCTTTTGCAGAGAGACTCAGGAAGAGATCTCTTCCAAAAGAACCCGAGCAAATGTAACTAAATCACTGGAAAAGAAAATGGTGGCAGGCACCAGGTGTAGTGCCTATCACCCTAGCCCTTAGGAGCCTGAGGCAGGAAGACTGCTATATGTTCAAGACCAGCCTGGATTACATAATGAGACCCTGACTCTGAAAAACAATACATAAATAAAAGACAGAAAACCAATGTGGTGAGAAGAACTGAAAGAACTAAATAAAAGTGTCCTTCCTCTACGCCTACTTGAGATTCTCATTCAGCTATTGTCCCAGCTGAGGACCGCTGCTGTCCCCAGACTGTCACGATGAGGCAGGGGCACCTAAGGTGACCGGGCTCTGCAACGATCCACAGAAGCACTGTGCAGTATCCATATCCCTTCTCATCTGTTTATTTATTTTGTCTTTTTGAGAGAGGGTCTCCTATGCAGTTCAGGCTGACCTTGAGCTCACTTTGTAACCCAGGCTCAAACTCACAATGATCCTCTTGCCTCTGCCTCCCAAATGCTGGGTTTATAGGTATGCACTGCCACACCTGGCTCAAACTCCCAATTTTGATAAGACAGTATTTTCTAAACTGGTAGACATGGTTAAAACTGGAATCTGAGTTATTAAATATTATCACAGAATTTAGGACCTGAGAAAAATACTGCTGGACACAGGCCCAATTTGCTGATCTTTTATTTACTTGGACTTGGCAGTTGTGAAGTCCGGGGAACCTGGAGGAGCCCTGGGCTGAGGAGGGGCGGAGGCCTCTGTAGACACAGTGGGCCCCGGGAGGCACCCGTTCCTGCTCGCAGCTCCCACCAGGAAGGCGCCAGACGTTTCTGGAGGATCCTTCCTTTCCTTCCTTCCTCCTCAGCAAAACAAACCCCCACTCCCTGGAGAAAGAGTCAGTGGTTGGGGAAGAGATTAGGTCTTTGGGGCTTTCGAAGAACTTAACGGGGAACCCCCTCCCCAATTCTATAATAGGATGGGAAGCCCTGGGGAACTGACTGAAGTTACAAATCCCTTAGACATTTGACCACTTCTGCTCTTGGAGCTGATCATAGTAAATATATTTGGTTTTTTTTTTTCCTTTTTTTTTTTTTTTCAGAAAACACATTCTTCCAAAATATATTTATTAATAAAAATTTTTTCTTAGTGTGTTTGTACTACATAACAATTATGTTAGTAATTGTTATTAACACACATCATGTTTGCTGTTTCTTTTTTGGTACCAGGGATCAAACTCACAACCTGTGCTTACCAGGCAGGTGCTTATTCAACTGAGCTAAACCTCCAAACTACATCTTCATTCTTTTTACTTCTTATTTATTTATTTATTTATTGTCTTTTTAAAATTTGTTTTTTCAAAAGTGTGGGGAAAAATAATAAAATAAAATTTGTTTTTTCTTTTTTTGGTACCGGGGATTGAACTCCCAACCTCACGCCTGACAGGCAGGCTCTGCGCCACTGAGCTAAATCCCCGGCCCCTGATTTATAGTCTTTTTGAGACAGGGTCTCACTATGCAGTCCAGGCTGGCCTTGAGCTCACTTTGTAGCCCAGGCTGGTCTCCAATTTGCAATGACCCTCCTGCCTCAGCCTCCCAAACACTGGGATTACAGGCATGTACCGCCACAGTCGAGTTTATTTTGGTTTTTTGAGACAGCATCTCACTATGTGTCCCAGGCTGGCCTTGAGCTCCTGAGGGTCCTCCTGCCTCAGCCTCCTGAGTGGTGGGATTACAGGCAGGCATCCCTTCCATCCAACCTTTCTCTTCTCCTAAGGCAGTAGCAATGTGAGTGAGCAGCAGATCCCGGCTTCAGACACTTGAGAATGGTTTACGTCATGTCCTGGCCCCAGGTGAGTGAGCCGACAGACAGCAGGACTCGAGTCCTAGATCATCATCTTGAAGATGCCCAGGTCCACACAGCTGCCCAGCACGGGACCCTAATGGGTCTCAGTTCTCTGAACACCATACTCCAAGCAGGGCTAGACCTTGGAGTTTTCTGCCCAGTGACCCTTCCCACGCCTCCTGCTGACCTAAACACCACTTCTTGGCTCTGGGAGCCAGGATCCTGCAGGCCCACTCTGCACCTGGGGTGGGGGCGAGGCCGTCTCCTCCTCGGGCCCTGCACGTGACAGACACCCTCACCTGCACCTCCTGGACCTGGTTGCCTGCAGCCTTATGGAGAAGTACACAGCTAAGGGAGTTTGGGAAATGCTGCCTTGGAGCTGGTGGGGGCTCATGGCTGTCGCAGGGCCCCCAGAACTTGTCACCAAGAACACACGCTTTTAGGGAGGTGCTTACGGAGCCAAGCCTGAGTGTGTCTCTGGGTTAAAGTACCGAAGGTCCTTCTCCCAGCAGAAGCGTTTTTGTGGAGAGGGGTGGGGAAGAAGGTGGAAGCTGTCTGCACTTGTCTTGCGCAGTGTCTGGACAGGAATTAGAGTTGGAGTTCAGCTGGGCCTGTCATCTCAGCACTCAGGAGGCTGAGGCAGGAGGATTGAAAGTCTAGCCCAGCCTGAGCAACTCAGTGACTTAATCAGAATCCTATCTCAAAATAAAAAATTAAAAAAGGCTGGGAATAGAGCTCAGTGAAGGGCCCGGGTTTGAGCTCCAGGCGCCCTCCTCCCAAGTGTTACAGCTCTGCTGAAAGCCATAACCAGGAAGGTGACTGGGAGCTGGGCTGGGCTCAGGCTGCTGTCCATCAGCGTGGTGGGCAGTGGTAAGCAGGCTGCTGGGAGCCCAAGACAGGAGCGGGAGGACGTGGCCATTCCAGGGCTCTGGGAGCCAGGCTGAGGAAATGCAGCCAGTGCCAGCTGGGTAGGTGACCACTTGGGACAGCGTCAGGGGCTGGCTGGGCACATGAGGAAGAGGGGGACCGTGGCCCCGCAGGGAGGTGACTTCACCACTGCCTGCTTTTCGGAAAGCCCGATCAGCCAGGGCAGGGTTGGGCTCTGTCCTCTTGTTTACCAGCTGAAGGTGGCCCTGGGGAGCTGGGGCTCTGGGCCACAGCAGTGACTGCAGGGAGGAGGTGACAATTTACATTTTATTCCCCCAGGACCCACTGGGAGGGGCGCTCTGACCCTAAAGAGAGGAAGAGAAACTCAGGGGGAGAAGGGTGTGGGGACCTGGTGGGTGGGAGGCTGCTATTAACCTCTTCTCTGACCTTTTCTCCTCCCAGAGGCCCTTGAGCTTTTCGGCCCGTCCACTGCCTAAGTTGTGGCTCCTAAACTGGTGGCCCCATTTTGAGTGTCACAGGGACAGTTGTCAAAAGTGTTTCCCAGAACGGAATTTCAGGCCCCCACCCCTGGAGATGGGGTCCGTGGGCTGGATACTGTCAGGTAAGAAATAGCTGGGCATGGTGGCCTGCATCTATAATCCCAGGAGGGTTACAAATTCAAGTCCAGTTGAAGTGACATAGTGACTCTGTGAGGTCCTGTCTTAAATAAAAAATAAAATTAAAAAAAAAAAGTATGCCTCAGTGCAAAGACCATGGCTTCAATCCCTAGTACTGAAGGGAGGAAAAAAAGTGCCAGCTATCACGATGTGAGCCCTGAGAGACAGGACAGTGGTTACCCTGACTGAGATGGGCCCTGAACGCCACCCAGGGCCAGTGCTACCACTGCAGCTCAGAGAGACTCCTCCCACCTGTCCCCCTATGCCCCTCACCTGGGGGGGTCCCCCGCTCCCCACCCACAAAGTGCTCCTTCCAGAGTATGCCTCAGTTTACCTCCTGGTAATGTGGACCTTTGGAATAAGAGTGATTGTATTTCTTCTACTGTCTCTAATGGTGTTTTCTCAGACTCAGGGCCTTTGCATGGAGCTATGTCCCCAACCTTTGGTATTTATTTTGAGATTTAGGTCTCAGTAAGTCACCAAGTCGCCCAGGCTGGCCTTGAAATTGAAATCCTGCCATAGTCTCCCAGAGCGCTAAGATGACAGATGTGTGTCACCATGCCTGGCTTGAATTATTATTATTGTTTTTTTTATTATTATTATTTTGGTACTGGGTTCCAACTCATAACATCATGCTTGCCAGGCAGGTGCTTAGGTCATTGAGCTAAATCCCAGGCCCTTAATTACTTTTGTTTGTTTGTTTCTTTGAGACAGGGTCTCTCTGTGGTTCATGAACTCACTTTGTAGCTCAGACTGGTCTCAAACTCCCAAGAGCCTCCTGCCTCATGAACCACCATGCCCGGCCATAAAGATTTTTTTTTTGTCTTTTTCATTTTTATCGGTACCAGGGATCGAACTCAAGACTGCCTGCTTACAAAGCAGGCACTCATGCCGCTGAGCTAAATCCCCAGCCCCCTATAAAGATTTTTTACCAGTTTTAAGTTCACAACAAAACTGGGAAGTTACAAGGTTTCCCAGTGTCATTGTCCCCTATGAACCTGCATGGACAGGTGCTGCCCCCCAAATCATCTTCTCAGATCAGTGAGCAGGCGCACAGAGGCTTAGCTTCAAGGACATCCAGTGTTGCAACAGTGGCCTTGCTGGGAAAGACAGGAGGTAGAGCTGGGCCTGGTGGCTAGCGCACCTAGCAATCTCGGCTCTCTGGAGAGAGGACGGACCCCTGGGTTAGCAGTGAGTTCAAGGCCAGCCTTGATGATGTAAGGAGACCTTATCTCAAAAAACAAAAAAACAAAAGGAAAAATGCAGAAGTTGGAAAACAGCCGGGTGTGGTGGCACATACCTGTGATTCCAGCCCTCCGGGAAGTGGAGGCCGGACCTTTGAAAGTTCAAGGGCAGCCTGGGCGACTTAGTGAGAACCTGTATCAAAATAAAACACAAAAATGGGGCGGGGATTTAGCTCAGTGGCTTTGGCGCCTGCCTGGCAAGCCTGAGGTCGTGAGTTAGATCCTTGATACAAAAAAAAAAAAAAAAAAATAGGACTGGGGATGTAGCTCAGTCCTGGTTCTGGGAAAGAAATTTAGGGAACACATACGTTTGCCACTAGAGATTGGTTAAATAAAGCAGCGCATGTTCTCAGAGGAGGATATCCACAGGTCTGGAAAAAGATGTGCATAGTATTTTTGTTTGTTTGCTTTGAGATGGGATCTTACTGTGCAGCCCAAACTGGTCTGGAACTCAAAATTGTGCGTGCCTCAGCCTCCTGAACCCTGGGATTACAGACATGCATCAGCATGTATCACCAAAATAAATTTTATTAAACAGCAATATGCTTGTGATGTAAGTTAAAAAGAAAGAAAGAAAGAAAGAAAGAAAGAAAGAAAGAAAGAAAACCAGATTTC